AAAGCATACTTAAAAAAATGCGCTTTTCTGGATAAGATTTATGCACAATGTATACTTGCTTAATATCTTAACCAAACGTTGCATTTTACGTATACCAAAGCTTAGATTACAAACCGACGGACAGAATTCCCATGGGCGTTTGCTGTACTGCAAGTTTTGAATGGGGTTTGTATCAACTCTAAAAATCATTATGCGGGTCACTCTGTAATTGGGCGCAAGCCTGTTGAGGGCCCAGAACAAGAGAGGGATAATAAATAAATGTAAGAATCCTCCGTTTTTTAAGGGGTAACTTTTCGTAATGCGAAGTTTACATATGCTAAACTCAAACTAGAACCTCCCCGATTAAATCGTGTAAAGTTTTGGTGTAAAATTTTTTAAAGCTCAAACCTACTAATTTTTGTAAATGCATATTCGATTTTTTTATAAAACTAACAATGTTTTTAAGGTGATTGTGATTGGATGTTTTTTCAAATAACAATGTCGGCTGACAAGATTAGTTAAGTAAGCCGGCCCGTGTAGCGCAGTTCAGTGGAAGCTCGACTGCGGTACAGGGTCCCTGGTTCGAATCCGGGTTCGGGCATGGATATTTGTAAATGTATAGTGGGTTGGGTTGGTAGAGCAGCCTCGGCTGAAACCCCGCCCACTTAAAAATAAAGGCAAAATAACATATAAAAAGTAAAAAATAAGTATGCTTTATATTACCGGCCGTTAATCAAACACCACGGGGATCTCGGAAACCGTAAGAGATTTGGCAGTTGCGTATTTTGATGCTTAACAAAATGCAGTTTTGACACTGAAAAAATTCCAACTACTTTCGGAGATATCATGAAAAAAACTAAATTTTGCAAAATCGTTTTTATTTTTTACTGATATTATTTAAAAACATATTTCAAAATAAATCACAGTATTATGCCCACTTTTTTTCCCTCTACAAGGTGCTAGTTTTACATTTTTAAGTCTAACGTTTCGTCTCCAGTTAACTATCATCAACTTCGTTTTTTCTTATGGAAGTTATTTTTATTTTTTATGCCATTTGATAGAGCATTTTTTTCTTATTTCAAAAATGCATGTATCACTAAAAATAACACTAAAAGATTACATTTTTCGAAAATATCTCGGCATTAATTGCCAAATTGGAATCTGTACAGCGTGGCTCAAATTCGTGGATCTCCGTAACGAGATACGATGTAGGTTGCCCCTTTTTGTGACTAAAAAAGACGCATTTGGAATTTTTAAAAATCTGTAAAAATAACTGAGATATCAACGAAAAACTGAAAATGTCAAATTTCGTTTGCATTTTCCCTAGCTTAAGCGGTCGGAAATGGACGGTTCCCGTTAGCACCTACCATGGGCACCTTTTTCAAAGTATCTGACTCTGTTTTCGCAAGTTCCATAAAACGCTAGAGAAGCTACAGGCCACTGTTGCTTATTTCTTATGGACGCCATATCACTTCTAGTGCACATATATTGGCTATTTTATTTATTTCTTTTGATCAAATCAAATTTTCAAGAAGATTTTTATATTCGTCAATCGCAATAAATTTGACTCCCTGTTTTTTTGGTCGCCCTACTTTTTAACCTACTCAGCTTGTCTGTAATCCCACCCCTGGTGGTCACATGGGCGTTTTTAAAATTGGAATTACTTTCCCATTAGCATTTTCACAGGGAAAATACCACGTTCTGATATTATGCCTTATTTTGAAAGGAAATTGATCGTATTTATTACTGAAAGAACAAATGAGCAGAATTGATTTATTATTTAATTTTGCCGTTGCTGTTTATCAGGTTTATTAAATGGCTTTCTGGAATACAGAAAACAAATGATTATTTATAGCACCGCTTTTACTGGAATATTATTTCTCACATTTCAATTGTAACTGCAATAATTAAATTCGAATAAATGATTAAGTTAATTTGTTGTAATCAATATAGTAATGCAATTCCATAAAGTAAGCTTTCCTTCCAGTGCTTACGCGTGCCAATCCAGCCGGTTCATTTGGAAACTGGTAAAAAACACCCTAAAAAGTGAACATGAATCGATTAGATCAACTCTACGCTAATGTCAGTAGTAAGGGCAAGTTCACGGCCTTTTTACGTCAATGCAGTAGGAGTAATTCATAAAATATACCCTAGACACGCGAGGTCGAAATCGCAACCTTTTCTTCCAAAAGGCACGAAGCATCAAATTATTTTCGCCATTTCCACACACACTGCTACACCTCAACGTGATTTATAAAAAAAAATACTTCACCAGATTTATTGCAAAAAAAAACGTTCTAAAAATAAATATCGACCGACTCAAACAAAATTGTAATTTAAAGGACAAGGTTTTTGGTCGCTTATACATTTTTAATCGGTTATTGCTATTGGCCTTAACCTTTACTTTTGGCCTGTTACAACATTGCATAATTTCGTTATCAAAAACGTGCGATAATCGTAATTTTAATTAATGGGCGCGAGCCTCCTGCCCTGTTAAGGTTTTTGAGCCATATTTCGAAAACGGCGCTGACTCATTGAGTAACCACGCGTGAATGTCGGAGATTTTGCCCCGCGATTTCTGAACTGATCAGACGTTTCGTATTTCTAATGCAGATTACCTTATCGCATTTCCACTTTATTTTCCTTTACAATCATGAGCGTTCTAAGAGAAAACGTGATGTCATGTAATATCACAAATTACACTTTATTGTATCCAAGGCTGCAAAAATCATTTGTTTATAACCGTCCATTATATAGAAGAGATTGCATCACGATCAACTAACCGAGTAATGGGTGATTTTTTTTTCTTAGCAAGCTTATTGATTAATGGAGTGCAGCGATCTTAATTGGTCGTTAATTTTAAATTATATTATCTATAAATATGGGTACTTACCGAGATGAGACAGACCGGATAGTTCGGAATCTGTAATAAAACGTAATTATAGAATTGTCGTTAATTTATAAATATCGTAAAAAAACTTTATGGTTTTGGCGGCGGCGGCGTGTTCTCGAAAAGAGGACAATTGTTCAATTTGCGTATATGCATGTAAAACACCAAAAGCATTATGCAAGCATGACTGTTGGAATAAGTGTTTGATCTTTTATTTGATGATTACTGAGCCATGGCATCCTTTGCCAATTGTAATGTAATAATTCGGGTATCTATTCATTTTAGCGCCGGTAATGGTAATAATCCAACGCCAATTGACAGGCACTTCAATGGAGAATAGAGGTGCCAGTAGTTGAAGATTTCGCAAAAACCGATGATAGTTCACTGAAACCGTGTATGGCCATGACTTGGTGGTCACCATGGCAACAAAGTTAAACTGTTTTTAACCGCTGGTGACATTCGAGAAAAATAATTGAGCACTATTTTCTCCATTTTTGATGGCGTTTGAAAAAAAAAGTTGTATGAATGCCACCCATACAAAAAATAATTGTGTTTAAATCAGTACCTACTTACACGAGGGGCTGAAATATTTCGAAAAAGGCATCTCCGAAATATGAACATTTCCATCGTACAATAATTTTTTCAGTTTAGAGCAAAGGGTCAATACTTTTACCCCGCAGATTGTAAACATGTTTGTTTGACAAATAAAATGTTAAATTATTCCCGTCTCTGTCTTTTATCTCGTCTTTTGGTTAAAAGTAAAGATTCCCAAATGTAAATAATATAATATGTAGTTGTAAACAAATACCTTAGTTACGTTTTCTGATACAATGTCAGTTCTTGTCCTTTTTTATTAAGCAAATCAAGTATATTTTAGAAAAGGAATGTAAGTATTCAATAGAGGACCATTAGGAAACATATTTCACCTTCCACATTCAAAAAACACCTTCACGCAATTGGCAATGTAAATGTATGACGTATGGAACATCGAATAAAAAGTCAACAAATAGACACCTAGCATCAAGGTGGTC